TACACACACACACACAAACATACAAAGAAGAGTATTTAAAAAGTCACAGCTACCTTGCCAGTGAGTTCTTCCCAGGAACTCGCGTCCAGGGCATGTCTGTCGCTCTTGAAAGGTTCGTCAAACTTGTCGCTGGTGTTCCAGGTGCCCTCTAGATAACAGAGCACGGGCTTGAAATACTTCCTGTAGTCTCTCACTGTGTGGTTCTGCTCCGCGAAGGCTTTGAACCATTCCTTCATCTCAGCGATTTGGTCCTGGAAACGGACATAGAAAATAAATACGTAGTGGTTGGGTGTGTGGGTGGTTGGAGAGTTCCCTGATGACGTTTCCTATCAATTGTCCTTATCTTTCCTTTTTTTCTGTGTATATTACTTTGTTATAAGACCTTTATCCTTGGCACTTCTTTGACCTCTTTGCTTTGCTAGTACCGTAAACTATTTTAAAAAGTAGTGGTTGTAATGAACATAATCTAGAATAAATAATTAAACGAAGGGGACATATTTTTAGACTCCATGAGCATAGAATGCAACTTAATGCTGTTTTGGTATTCCCGTATATTATCATTTATGTTTTCTTCACTCCCCCTTTCCTTTTTCTACTTTGGAGAGTGTGGGGGGGGGGGGGGGGGATGGGGGAGTGGATAATGGGATCTCCATGCAAAAGAAGAGGAGGCCGCAGAGATTACGTCTTTACAATCATGATAGCGGGTCCAGTCATTTTACACGAATTTCTTAATTAGCTGGGTCCTTTCGGGGATAGTCTGCTTCTTTTTTCTAATCAAATATCTATGGTCCTTATCTGTGCAACTTTTATTTGTATATTACTCTCTAGTAGTAATGCCTATAATCTCCGGTACTCATCAGACCGATTTGTGTTGCAAGTAGCATAACACCCTTATAAAAAGTACTCGATGTCTTTAAAAAAAAAACAACCAAAAAACACAAATCGCAAAAATGTCTAGTCTCCGGCACTTGTCTGACTTATTTGTGCTGCAAGTGCAGTAAATCTCTTAATACAACCAAGTTACATGAGTCTACGACAAGGACTTACCTTAACTAACAGTTTGCTCATGACCTCCGGGGGCACTTCCGGGAAGGGGATGTCCTCCACGGCGTGTTTCTCCGTGGAGTTTGGCGAGGCCATCACCAGGCGGTAGTCGTTGTGGCGGGTTCTGAAAGACACTCCGTTCAGAACGGCCACAAATTCACCTTGGCCTGGAAATTGAAAGAGAATAAAATGAGTTCTTGTGCTTGGAAAGGTCTGATATTTTATCCTTATCATCTCCACCACCATAACCAACACCAGAAACAACAATAAATTGTCACTACCACCACCATCAGACAAAATGATTGAGGATGATGGCTGCTCTACTGACTGTGGTTTGTTCTTTCTTTTTCATCAGACACCAATCATCCCTTTGTCTCCTTTTTTTATTTACATTATACTCTTTAGTAACATCTGTAATTCTTTAATCATCGACATTCATATGACCTTCTAGAGTCGCAAGTGCACAAAACCTTCATTGAAACTAAGAAAAGTGGCGAGAAAATCCACTGTCTCTGACTGTGTGGTCGTGTATACCCTTCACTGCGTGTGTGATTGTAGAATGATAAAGCTGTGCAGGCCCAGTGTACTTTCTTGTACAACTGCATCAACATCAGCATTACCACCACCACACCCCTACAGCAACGACAACAACAACAACAACAACAACAACAACAACAACAACAACAACAACAACAACAACAATTACAGCAAAGCCAATGCCAGCATCACGTCTACCCTTATCAGCAACAGCAGCGTCATCGAAAATAGCAGCGACAACAACAATAATATGAATAGTAACACCCCCACAACCACATCCAACAACAAAAACACCACTACCACCTCCACCATCAACACCATCAACGACAACAACAATTACACTGCTAAACCACCATAACAACAGCCAACATCACCACCAACAACAAAAAGTCTCACCAATAGTTCAGTTATAGTTTCGGTGGTCATGTTTGGCCATCATACCGCGGCCTGCGAGTATCTCTTTGTCTAACTGTACTATCACCACCAACAACAAAAATGCTACCACCACCACCACCACCACCGCCGCCGCCAAAAACAACAACAACAACAACAACAACAACAACAACAACAACAACAACAACAACAACATCAGTCCGGCGGTGGCATCTCTTCGGGGAGGATTCAGGGAGGTTGGACTGCCTCACTCGCTACCCAATGGAGGCGATGGCCCTGGCGAAGAGCACGCTCTTCGGGGCTCCAAACATTTCGAACGGATACGCTACCACACACAAACACAACAACAACAAGAAGAAGTAAGAAACCTATCTGTTCTCACCGATGGTCCTGTCAAAGTCGGGGTGGTCATGTATCGCCATCATACTGTTGCCTACGTGACCGTCGACGTAGAAGTTGTAGATGCCAATGTTGTTCCCTCGCACAATGTTCACGCCAGAGTAACCCTCATTCCGGACTCTGGGCAGGTTAGAGGTTTGGGTTTTAAGACCTTTCCAACATAACTTAGGTTATCAAGAAGCTGAGTTTCTGACAATGCATCTGTCAGAACTTTTGGTTTTTGGCGCTTGTTTTACGAACTTATCAATCTTGTTCGTTTTATGGGGGGGAGAGGGGTTATTTAAGGGG